AGGTAGATGATATCATGCAGTCCATGGTCTTCCAACTACAACAACCCAAAGCTGTCAAAGCATTAAGTGCTGGTGCCCATCAAAGTTGGATGGTGCCCAGCCAACACTAATAAGTCCATCACAACTCAACGATGAGAAGAACTGAAAGAGAATTCAGATTCAGTTTTGGCAGAAATTCTTATCACAGAAGATTATCTTAGCACAGTGTGACAATAAGCATTTTCTGGACAGTGAGAAATTATTTTCAGGAGAAAACAGCCAAACTTACAAACCCTGAAGGTTTGCATGTCATAGATTAACACGCCACGTGCTTCTTAATTGCCAAGCAACAGCCAGTACTGCAACAGGGAAAGAATCTTGGCACCATGGGACTCAGAATCATGTCTATGAAATCTAGACAACTAGTGGTATTTTTGAAAAATCAATACAAGACCTCTCGAAGTAACAAGGCCTTTTTTTCTTAGATAGAACTACATTCCTACCACTGTACAGACTATGGGCACTCATGGTATGCAGGCACTATCTGACATAAACCATAAAAACAATCCCTGATCAAGAAATAAAACACCAATCCATGGTATTTCTTCTGCAGTGCTTCTATGAAGACAGAAGTCATACACACTGTAACTGAAAATCCACACACAAACTCTTCTTAATGGACACTGATGAACTCTGTTAATAAGGTTTGCTTCTGAAGAGAAAATATTCAGTCAAGGCAAAGTGATCCCCTCAGCACTTCATCACATGCAGGACTTATCTGTCCTTGGGTTGAAGAGAAGCGTCTTAAGATTTTCACTAAAGATTTCCTACACTTCAGTGAATCCATGACAGTGGCTAGAGTAACAGCTCTGCAGAGTGTCTGTATCTAAATGGTATTTGCAATGACATCTTCTGCAGTTTGATAGGGCTAAAACAAGTTTCATCATGGTATGTGTGGAAAGATAAATAAGCTAAAATTGTTCTAAATCTTACACTCAGGGAGCAAAGAAAGTTTTGCTAACTAGAGCAACAAAACTGAACCAACCAGTGTGCCTTATCTTCCAGACCAAAAGACATTCTGTAGTCATAGCTGTGGAACTCAGCCTTTTAATTTTTGGTCACTGTTGCATCTGAGAAGACTAAAAACAAGGTCATCACAGAAAGACTCTGATGCCCACAGCTGAGAACTCTGCACTACGTGATGCCCACTGTTCTGCTTCTGGTGTTGAAAAGTCAACATACATACGTGAGAGGCCATGCTGTCATTCCTTAAGTAGTTAGCCAATGTGCTTCTGTTACTAAAAAAAGTTATCATCCTAATCCAGAGAAGGATAAGACCGGAAGAATAGAAACGTTGAGACACTGAAGGCCATGCTAATACTGCAGTACTATCTGTGCTGACAATGCAGTTGGCTGGAAGAATACTGAAAGGGTATGAAGAGGGCTGAGGTCAGGTTCAAAAGGCAGAATAACTGAACTACTGCACTTGATAAAGGAAGTACACAAGAGATAGATCAGCAGAGATCTCAAATGTGAAGTCTGTCATCTCATTAGAAGTCTAAAAAGCACAAAAATAATTAGAGAATCGGTAGATTTTAATGGCAGAGGTGTAACAAGAGGTACCAAAAGGTGCACATTATTTCCCAAATAAGTAACTTTGATGACATTTAAAGAAGGGAAATCCACCAAGAAAGGAATGAAGCATTTCATCCCACACCATGAACAGAGAGAAAAGATCACTTCTGTGCACTTACATCCTTGCCACCAGAAAAGTTAGCAAAGAAGCAGGTATAATGGAGTTGAAAAACCATGAAAACCTGAAAGAATCCAAACCTGTATGAGAGACACACGTTACCTGTAAGTGGATTCTGCATGGGTAGCTCACACAGCAATAACAGCTGTTGCAAAGTAACCTTGTGTTTAGGCAAGCCATCATTCGATAGGTCACCTCAGAATCATTTGTTGGCAATAGAATTACAATCCTTAAGTACTATTGATACTATCCATAACTAAAAACAAAACAAACAAACAAAAAAAACCTAGTTTTTCAAGCATCTGACCTTATCCAAATTAAATTCAATGTGAACTGTACAGTATTATGCTTCAAAAAGTATTATAACAAAGAGAGAGAATGAATTCTGAGCAATTTTGCAATTGCCTATTTTAATTCTTATTTAAAGAAAGAGTGATTCTTAAGGGCTTGCTAAAACATAATGGCTTGAGATCACGGAGCTTTAATGCACAATTTGATTTCTCTTTTTGCTAACCACAAGACTGCATTTTACAGATTTACGTACTGAAATAGCTTAGTTTTAAATCAGACTCTCAAATTCCATGCTGTTAAAATAATGACTGACATCTCCCATTTACTTGATGATACTTTTATTCAGATTTGCCAGGCTCCATGGCTGGAAATTCTAATCCCAGTGATTATATACGAAAGTTCTGTTTTTATAATAATTATCAGTGTCATTCAATTAATTCAAATACAGGAAAATTGTGTTTTAAACACAAACCAGTTTTGACAATGTATTTGTGTTCTGTGAATAGAAGCAAGACCTTCTAATTATTAGATCTTTCATTGTAACCACTAAATTTCATCCTCATCCTTTAAATTCTCCTTGTAGTAAAGATGAAATCAAGTTTTTCTGTCTCCTGAAGTCCCACTTTCTCAATTTCAGCTTATCTAACGAATGAATAGAATCAGATTAACAAGCTAGAGTAAGGGAATATTCCTTTTCTGCCCATACAAAGCAAATCCCAAGACAGAAAAGGGCTGGATTATGTTCCAGTGCTAAATGTTTAGCTGGCAACTTCCTTTCATTTGGAGTTTTCACTTCCATTAGTTTCATTTTTAAAGATGAGCTGCTAACTACCTGAAATTTAAGTGTAGTATTTAACATACATCACCAATTACAAGCTATAAAATAGGAAGTGTGTTCTATTTAAGAAAAAAACACATCATTTTAAAGAGAGGCAGCCTGACATCCAGCCAACATTCAGGAGATTCAAAACTCAGTGGCAAATACAAAAAAAGTTCTTTGGACTTTTTTAAGATTCGGGACTAGCAATATCATAGGTGGAAATATATGGAACAGCTCAAAGCCTTGTCTGCAATGGAATTTCCCATCCTTAAGAAAAAAACAACAGTGAAACTTCCCTTATGAGCCCAGAAAAATCAAAGGACCTTTTAACAGCAAGTAACATTTACAGACAGATAATTTATTTCAGTTTATCAGTTCTCCTTCCTCCGTTACTGATTTGATCCACTAAACAGACAAGGGAATTTATTAGTAGGCTCCCAGCAAAATGCTTGCTGCAGAAGTCACCAAGGAGTGACATTTGCTCATTATTGAAAGCAATAAAGAGAGAAAAACATGCTGAATTCAATTTCCATCAGAAACATCTTTCCAGCATGCTTTCCAACAGAATCATCTAGATTGGAAGAGACCTTCCTTGAAGTCTAACCATCCATCTAATGATACCAAGTCCCATCACTACAGACACCACAGACACACATCTCTTAAATGCCTCCAAACACGGGGACAGCACTGTTCCCCTGAACAGTCCCTGTCAAATGCATGACCACACTCTCCAAGAAGAAATTCTTCCTAATGTCCAGCCTGAACCTCCCCTGACACAACTTCAGACCTTCAGCTTTACATCTGAGGAGACCAACACTTTCTTCTTTAGAAACTCTGCAGGTAGTTGTGGAGAGCCACGAGGTCTCCCTTTAGCCTCCTCTAAACTAAACAAACCCAGTTCCCTCAGTCTCTCCTCACAAGTCTTGCTGTCCAGTCACTTGAGCAGCATCACTGCTCTGCATATGCTCAAGCTACTCAGAATCTTTCTTGTAGTAAGGGACCAAAAACTGAACAGTACTGAACAGTGCCATGCCTTCTTGGCCACCTGGGCACACTGCTGGCTCACACTCAGCCAGCTGTCAAACAGCACCCCCAGGACACCACTAGTGAGCAGCCAACAAATTAATTAATTTCTGCTCACCAGGACTTCCTGAGCAATGCCAGCCAGGCAGATTTTTTACCCAGCAAACCGTACACCTGTCCAAGCCATGAGCAGACACTTTTTCCAGGATATACTGTGGAAAACTGCGTCAAGTACTTTACCAAACTTGAGGTAAATAATACCCACAGCTCTTCCCCATCTACTGAGTGAGTAATCTTGTAATGGAGATCAAGTTAGGTAGGATCTGCTTTTCGCAAACCCATGCTGGCTGTGCATGTTCACTTGATTCTTCCAAATGTGACATCTGCCCTATAAACTTCCTAGGTACCAAGGTCAGACTGACAGTCTTAAAGTTCTCTGGATCTTCCTTACTGCTGTTCTTAAGAGTTGGGTGAACTAAGATTCTCCTCCCATGGCAACTTTCAAGCTTTCTCCAGTGAAGGTCCTCTTACAGATGGATCCAATCAGTTCCCAGCAGACAGGTTTCTCTACGAAGCCCAATATCCCTGGCTATGACCCCAGTCCTGTAACAATGCACTGATCCACCAGGTCCAAGTGGTACTTTTAAAGCATTTTCCTTTGACTGATAAAGAGAAGATCACCTGTGTTCTAGAGTCTCTTACAGCTGCTCATCCACTCCATCAGTTTATTCAGAAAACCTACAGCAGAACTACAGCAGACTCTTCTTTCCTTTCCCAATTATTCTCAATCTCTTCACTGCTGCTAGCATTTTCTAATGCTTTTTATTTTTTTAATCCACAACACAAATTATGCTCTCCAATCACACACCTAATATTTACAGAGGAAATCAAGCACTGAAGCAGTCAATTTGCAGATGGAAAACATTCAAGAAAGTTTTAGTTAGATGCTATATATTAAGGTCAGAATATTGCAATATTTGAAATTATTAACACTGGATACTTGATTGATTGCCAGCAAACAGCTACACAATGCAAGCAATCCTCTAATTTCTGTCCTTTCCATTACTTCTCAAATGAAGTACACTTCAAAAACACTACAGAATAAAGCACAGATAACTTTTTTAAAAATCATACCTTGATCAGAAAGAAAATCCAGCATGGTCTGGAGAAGGAAAGACAGATGCCTGACGGATAGGGCAGGATTGCCCATTCTTCTTGAAGCATATACTAGTTCATGAAGCAAACGCATCTGCACTGCAGCCCATCCTCTGTGAGTTCCTACAAAGTGAACAGTCATTTAATTTATTTATTCTTAAGGCAGAAGTCATAAAATAAACAATTTTATTTGGTTTCCTGTACGTATTAAGCAGTAACTTAATGATACATAAAAATCACCCAACAGAACCAATAATTACAAAACCCAAAGCTTGAACTCAAAATGATAGGAAAAACAAGGTATTTGGATTTACTTCTGTTTTTAAATGTAAAGCAATTTTTTTTTATATATTCTTGTCTACTGTCTATATTTATCATTGGAATTCAGAAAGTTAATGCTTCCTGTAAAGAAAAAAACACAGTGCACAATTTTTGAACTTTCAGAACCAAAAATTCATGAGATTTCATGCAACAAACTTCATTTTCATCCAAATTCAGCACTTCCTAAATCTAAGGAAGGACTAATCCCAAGTCTAAAGACCAAGTCATGCCTGTATTTTGTTACATTCTGTTGCCATGCAGCTGATGGTGGCAGAGGGGAAGTCTGACAAAATGCCATCTGACACAGAAGTGCATATGAAACAAAGGTGTGGAACTGAATTTCTCCTTGTGAAAAAAATGGCACCCAATGCATTCAGTGCTGAATGGTGGGTGGTACATTTCAGCAGTGGCTTCAGGAAGTGACCTGAAAGACAAGCCACGCTCCTGATAGCCACCAGATGAAGCTGTCACACTGTAAAATGAAGAGTGTCAACCAACTCATCCACACAAATCAGCAAATGGTAGTGACTAAGCTGAAAAATAGTGTTTTGTCCATGAGAATTTACTCTATCAAATAATCATAGAATCACAGAATGGCTTGGGTTGAAAAGGACCACAGTGATCATCTGGTTTCAACCCCCTGCTATCTGCAGGGTCGCCAACCAGCAGACCAGGCTGCCCAGAGCCACATCCAGCCTGGCCTTGAATGCCTCCAGGGATGGGGCATCCACAACCTCTTTGGGCAACCTGTTCCAGTGTGTCACCACCTTCTGTGTGAAAAACTTCCTCCAGTTTCCATGGAAATAAATAGGAGGCACTACTTTTGGAGCAGCCAACGCATGTTCAAATATAGCTTACCTGAAGAATGGTGGCAGACAGTATGAAAAAACTTGCAGAAAGCAAAGACAGTACTTAGCAGCTATAGGAATAGCCACTTGTTATTATGAGCTGGTTTTGCTTTGTTGGATTGTTATTGTAGTTTTTCTTTATTTTTAATAGATGCCAAAAAATAGCAATTCAAAAGATAAAATTGTTTAAAATTGTTTAAATATTTAAAAGCTAGTCTTATAGATAATATCACACAGATTTAATCTGTGGAGAAACATGACATATTTGACCTTACAGATACAAATGCGAGCTTACACACACGCACGTAATTACATCTATATTTGTATGAGTGTGTCTCTGTATAAAAGTATAAAAGAATCTTTCATTCTTTGATTATAAACCATATCGAAATTAATACAATTTCTCAAACACAAAGCTGAAAGCACATAATTAAAAAATACACTGAAATAAAATGACCTTTCTTGTACTGAGAAGCATAAAATCACAAAGACATTTTGAAACAGTAGAAGAGAAGCTCTCATTAATAAAACACATTTGCTACAAACGGAGGAACGCAGCAATACACTCAGCAGCAGCTCTCAGAAATTCCAAACTATCAAAAGCAACACCAGCAAAAAGCAAAGGTGCTGTTTTGAAGAGCTACTCTGTTTGCCACAATTCTTTTTGGATAGGTAAAGGATTTGGGTTTTATTTGATGTTTCTCAAGGAAATGAGTAATATAAAGCCACCTGAGTGACACCGTAAGCAAACGCATGCTCCCCCAGAGACATTTACCTTTGCTGAAATCTTTAGGATCCAATGATAAACTATAGCCAGGGAGAGTTTCCAAAAGCAATTTGTAGCAGGCCCTCCATCCAGGCTCTGGGATGCTGGGTGCAGCACACTGCATTGCTGCGATACGCTTGAAAAAAGCAGACTTGCGGTGAAAACCAATTCGTTCGTACAGCTCCGAAAGAATGCTGTAACGCTGGATTTTTTCTTCTTCTGAGAGCTGAAATTGAAGAGAAAATGGAACTGTTTTCAATTCAACACAGTTTTCAAGGATGTTACTGAGTAACACAATAAAAAAGAAGAAAAAATGTAATAGGCATCTCCACCACAGAAGGCCAGCATGTTTGCACACAGCCAGTCATGCCAACCCCTACTGCCAGGAAATCTTCAGCTTGCTTCAGAAGTTCATCTGCTAACAAGAACAGCAAGGATGCATTTTCTGAACAACTTAGTTAGTTATCAGTACTATGAAGTGTTAAGTTAGTCAAAACAGCTAAAAATAGCTAGAGTTTCATATCTTATGGGTGATACTTAGCATGATATTCAGGTGCACGATAAGAACATAAAAATACACCGCTTCCAAAAACTACTGATTTATCAGGTTAAATGTTTGAACCACTTCAAAAGCAAACCTAAACTCTCAGTTTTTATGAGTCTCTGATCTCGTAAATCACAAAATATTGCTACCATGATACCATATCTGTGCAAACTGTCAACAAATGGGGTAGAATTCAGTGAAAGGTCAAGCCCCATTAGGTTTCAAGTACAAACAAACTTGGTAAGCCACCACTATATGCTACTGTAGCTTGCCAATATATATGCACAGGGCCCGTGCAATTGCTCCTTTCTCACAATGAATAAGAGTTAGGTTGCTCAAGGAGGCTGTGGATGCCCCATCCCTGGAGGCATTCAAGGCCAGGCTGGATGTGGCTCTGGGCAGCCTGGTCTGGTGGCTGGTGACCCTACACATAGCAGGGGGTTGAAAACAGATGATCATTGTGGTCCTTCTCAACCCAGGCCATTCTGTGATTCTGTGATCCAGTAACAAGTAGAGTTCTCAAAATGGATCAATGATGACACCTAGTGCACAATACTGAACATGCACAAACAAAAGCAATATCAAATATTACTAAGAGTTACTCTGTATGTTAACAGCTTTACAGGCATTTACGATGACAAAGTTCATAGAAAAATAACATGATGGACACAAACCACAATTTCTGCACATAATTCTTCAAAACGAAAAGCATCAATCTCAATTTTTTGTTTAATGACATAGAATCATACAGGTTGCAAAAGACCACAAGGTTCACCCAGTCCAGCCATCAATCAATCAATCATCACCATGCTCACTAAGCCATGCCCGTCACTGCCACATGCTTCTATAAAACCTTCACAGACAGTGACTCCACCACCTCCCTGGGCAGCCTGTTCCAATAATTGCAGGCACTTTCAGACTCCGAATGTCAGAAGATTATAGGTACACTAATGACTTTTACAGAAATACTCATAAAGCTTCAAAACATTTTTTAAATCACATAAATGCTGACATCATTACAAAATCGTGAGAAAACTGTTTCTGTAAGTCACCACTAATTTCAGGCTGTGTCACAAAGAATGCTCAAAAAGCTTGGGAGTTTTCAGAGAGCACCATGACCCTATCTGACAGCTCAAATCCTAGTAGTTCAAACGATCCAGAGACACAGACAGACTAGCAAATCATTCTGGCAAGCTTCAGCTTCTGCAGCTGAAGTTGCTACTTCCCTATGACATAAGACTGCACAATGCAAAACCACAGCACAACCATACAACAGACCAATCCTGTAACAGGAGCTGTAAAAAGGCAATTGTACTGAGCTGAAAATGCAGCTGGAAAGAAAAGAAGGCACAAAAATGAAATACAGATCAGTTTAAGAACAGTTTATCAGAATCTTGAAAAGCCAGCATGCAGGAAGAACACGAGATGTTACATTATTTCACCCATTCAGGCAGAGAAGCTGCTCCAACTTCTTTTCCCCCCTATTTATGTCATTTTTAAAAACCTAGTGAAATACAACAAATGACAGCAGAATTTAAAAGGCCATTTTGATCAAGTATTAGAGTTAGAAAAGCTTAAATAAGTTATCAAATCTATTTCTCAAAATACAAAATACTGGCAGTATTCACACACGTCTGGAAAACTAAATTGCTAAGATGGGAAGAGAATCACAGAATCGTAGAATAGCTCAGGCTAGAAATGACCTTAAAGACCACCCAGCTCCAGCCCCATGCTATGGGCATGGACATCGTCCACTAGATCAGGCATCCAAAAGCCCTATCCAGTGCCCTGAGCATTTGCAGGGTTGGGGCATGCACAGCTGGGCAGCACCTCACCACCCTCACAGTGAAGAATTACTGATATCAAAGCTAAACCTACTGGTTTCTAGCTTAAAAGCCATTGTTCCTCGTCATGTCTTTACACTCCCTGACAGAAGGCCATGACAGCGTTACAGATGTGAGCGCGCACTAATTGGAAACAGCTGAGAGGCAACAGATTCTCTTAAAAGTTTTTATTTTTACCTTATTTGAGTAAGTTTTCAACACTGGCACCACTTGTCACTCAAAGCTACTCACGTTATTTTTTGCAGTTGCAGAAAGCTGTGCCTCATTGTCAACAGAGACACCAAAACTGTGTTTTCCCTCTGCACAAATAGGTCGGTGTCACCACTCAAGGGCTTAAAAGAAACAAGAAAACAATCCCACACTAACTAACTACACCAACTAATTATTTCAGGGAGGGCTGTGTGCATTCAGCACACTATCAGTGCAGCATCACAAATACCTTTCCTAGCTTTGTAATTTTGTACAAGTTTAACACATGGATGCAAAATGGCCAACACCTAAAGCAGAGCATCTTTTCTAGCTAATTAATTTTCATTTGATTGTTACAACAAACCAACAACCGTAAAGGCTGTAATTTACTATCCAAACAAATGAGAAAGCTTTTTATCAGCCTTGTTCTAAGGTAAGCTCTCAACTCTTTGAAAGGGTTGATAACTGCAGGACAAGGGGAAATGGTTCTAAGTTGATGGAGGGGAGATTTAGGTTGGATGTCAGGGGGAAGTTCTTTACAGATTGAGAGTGGTGAGGTGCTGGAACAGGCTGCCCAGAAAGGCTGTGGATGCCCCGTCCTTGGAGGTGTTCAAGGCCAGGTTGGATGGGGCCCTGGGCAGCCTGGTCTAGTATTAAATGGGGAGGTTGGTGGCCCTGTGTGTGGCAGGGGGTTGAAGCTTCATGATCCTTGAGGTCCCTTCCAACCAGGCCTTTCTGTGATTCTGTGTGATTCTGTAAGCTTTCATGAGAGAAGCTTGTTACATGATTTTTGATTATTCCTAACTACATTAAAGTGAACTTTTATAATCTCACTTCCTTTGTAACTGGCAGTTACAATTCATTCTTTGTAATTGGATGCAAAGATAAGTCTCATTACCCTGGAGCCCTCTTAAATTCAGAAGACTCATTACATAATTTTACAAGACTGAGGAGATCAAATACATGTGGAAAGAAATCAGTTTTCCTCTCCATCAGAGACACACACTTTATTCTGTGTTTTTCTGCTATCTGATATCGGTTGTGCTGATGTTCTACCTACCTGCAAGAGGAAAACAGTTCCCTGTTTGTTTTTCTGCTTTACATATACAAAGATGCATCTGCAGGGTGAACAGCTGATGCCGTACATCAAAGTAACTTTATGGAAGAAATAAAGAAGAAGAAAACAGAGCAGCTGGCCGGTAAGAGAAGCAGTGGGGCTTCCAGACTGCCCAGATTTATTTGTTGTCTCCTATGCAGCAGGTGGCAGAAACAAGGATGCCTTCTCATCGCGTTTCTTCTCTACTTGCTTTTCCCAAGGACCTACTCCAACTCACAGTTGTTCCTATTTGTGACACTGGAGCACGCTTTGATCAGGACAGGTGCTGCATTCTGACTGGTTGCCAAACTTTGTGCTTCTGTATAACTCAGCAGCTATTTGAATGCATTACATACTTTGTCATTTACTAAATTCTGCTTTTTTTTTTTTGCTCTGAAATTTACAACATAATGGGATGGGGGAGGAGAACAAGGGATCCTCCCAATGATGGTAATTACTTCCATAATAAACACAACAATAAACACAATTAAACAATAAACACAATTACAGCAACACCTAAGCTTGCAGGCCAAGAGAATGACAATGCAAGAGCAACCAGGGAAAAATACAGGCACAGTGGCTTCACAAAAATACTGGCCTATGTTAAAGGCTACTGGCTAAAGAGCTGCCAGGGAAAGAGACTGCATAATTAAGAAGGTCCTTAGCACTGAAAAAATTTAGCAGTTTAGGCACTCTGTAACAAAACCCATGATTTATATGAGTTTATTAACTAATGAAATTCTCCTCTCTTTGGGCTAGAAAAAAAATGAGAGCATTTTTAGGTTTAATGATCAAAGGAGATTATCTCCTGGTGAGTTTCTGAAAGATGCAGTCCGAATTCCACCAAAAGGATCATCTTCAAATTACATCAATTATTCTGCTTCTCTCATTAATTTGCCATCCCGATCTGGGCTTTAGCTCAATGCTGAGGACTTTAAATGCTAGTTTCACCAAGCCAGAATGAGCAGAAAAGGAAAAACAGTGAGACACCTAACAGCTTATAACAAGTTGTTTCAAGCACAGCCATTTTTGGTAAACAGTGACACTGGCACGAGACATTGATACCAGCTTGTTTTGTGGTGGTACAGACATCTGCTTAGCTGGATATGAACGAGATCACCAGAACTGAGCTCTAACTAGAGAGGATAATACGGTTGGACTGCTGATCTTGAAGGTCTTTTCCAACCTTGCTGATTCAGTGATTCTGTGATAATCTCTGCAGGAACTGCACACAGAGCCAAACTCGTAGCTGCAAGAACACACTATTCATTTTTCATTATGAAAATCTATTATTTGAATATTATCAAGTGTTAAAAAGCTGAACCAGTCCTCTAAAGCAAGTACTTACAAAGTACAGAAACTACCCAAACACTGCTTTTGATTACACATGGCAATGTTCAACTCCTCCCTGAAAGATCTACATGCACATTGCTCCTTCACATGCTGCCTCCTGGTCTCACAGTTCCAAATATTTTTTTGCCTCTAAATTCCTTTCTAATTTGGCACTCTGACACTGCGTAACAAAAATGCAGTTGAATAGTGATACTATTATACTCTGAACTGACTGCAACAGACCGTTCCTGATTTTCTGTTTCACTGAACAAGATACAATCAAGCAATAAAAACCCATCACAGGAGAGCTGTCCTAAGCAGCTGTTTTTCCCTAGCCCAACTCAATGGAATAGCAGTGGAACATTCTGTCTTCATGAGAGAATCAGTAGAATCTCTAATCTCAAAGTCCTCATGTTTGTTAATGAGTTCTGAACACCTACTTTAACCAGACTCACAGATGTGAAAACCATAGGAAGTCAAGCCCTGGTGAGAAGCAAGGGAATGAGAAGCTAGTAGACAGTTCTCACTTCTGTGATACAGAAAAGAAACTGGAGTCTTCTAAAAGTGAGTGAGTTTCACATTTGAGGGTAATCTCAAGCAGGAACAGAAAATTAACTGGACTTTCTGCACTTACCTGGCGAAGATTGATATAAACTGCATTCTGAAGGAACTCAGAGGCTTCCATGCTCCTTTTCTGTATTGCAAGGACTCTCACTGCCTTCACGCAGGCTTCCAGTTCGATGACACCTGCATTCTTGTACTTGAAGAGAGAAAGGCTTAAAGTATGGTACCTACTAGATTTGATAAGTATTCCTCAACACACAGATCAGCTGTCACATCTTACCAAAGCCTGCCATCCCCTAATGCTAGCGACTATACCATTACATTATCAACATATGGCCAAGTGAAAATTAAGGTGTCATCTAAACGTTACTGTGCAATACAACCATTTTCAGCCTCTTCACTCACATTTATTTTGAGACGCTGCACAGTTTCACATCTTAGAGTTCAGATGAGCAGAAAAATTGGGAATATTGGTATCATTTTGGATAACCTCGGATATGTGGGGAATTCACGTGCAGGTTTGTAACAAAGTGATGATTTTTACCTGCACAATACAATACCCATGTAAGCTGAAAGCTGCTGTTTGACAGCTCAGTTTTAAGTTCTTCTTCACCACCTAAAATTCTTCTATTAAGGTAAAAGGAAATTTATTTTGCCGTCTCTACTAAACACAAAATACATTACATGGCACAACTGTACCAACAGAACTGTAGTTTTACTGCTCCAATTTTATCTTTAGTTATAACAGCACCATCAGTCACAAACCATTCTGGGTTTTCTTACATGTTTATCATGTTTGGAATTCAGTGGGGGAAATACAGCTCAAAATGAAATGCAAGAGTCACCACCAAAGCACAGTTATACATTACTTTCTCGTGTATTTGAGATATCAGCAAAAACAAAGCATTGGAGAGTGAATCCATTTCAGAAGATGCTGTGAAGGCTTCTTATGCTCAGTGATAATGTGAAAAATGTGCAGAAAGTGCTGCTCCCTCAGCACTACAGTGAGTTATTCTATGCGTAGCTCTTAGACAGACAAAAGCTAAATACACTTGTGTTGAACAGCCACAGGACCAAATTATTTGTTATTTGCAAGTGAAGTTGTAGAGAGGCACAGTTATTACTTGCGAAGTGCATAACAAATTTTATTATAATCAAAATACCTACACCCTGATCAAGTTATCCTTCTGAAGAAACCACATCCTCTCTAGATGAGCAACTTACCCTTATGACAACATGAAAAGCCTAATGTATGCTTGAGAATTATTGTTATACTGACAGATTCAAATTTACCTGAAACTACCCCCAAAAACTGGCACGCTCCAGAGCTTCTAAGCACAAATTAACTCACAGACACAAATCACATTCTTTCATTTAGATAATTTCCCTTCAGTACAAGCGTGGAAATGACATCTCACATTCACGTGGCTTCATTTAAAGATACTTTCAGATATCAGAGAATAATTGGAAGGAAAAAAAGGGATTAAAGGATAAATAACTGCATGGTAACACAATAAAATTTAGCTTTACTTTTGACAAGGATATTAAGCCACTCTTGTCACAGCAAGAGATTCTTTTTCCTCCATATTATCAAAGCAAACACGAAGCTACCTTACTATCTTACGCTCTGAACATCTGCATAAAAATCTACAAAAAATTCCTGTAAAGACGAAAACAATTTAATCCTTGTAAATCCTCATTTCTGTTTGTCTTTTGCATTTCCTCCATGACCCCACCTCTCCACCTGCACTAAAAGCCACCCTCCCTGAACCCTCTTATTAAGCCATATCCAGCCTCAGCACCCCCTTCAGAAACCTCTGAATTCCCCAGAGATCTCTCCAGCAGGCACAGCAAACAAGCATCCAGCTCACACAGTGCATGAAAGCATCAGTTTGCTGCTGTGTGTAATAAAGGCTGCAAGTAGTAATTAACAAACCTTCTAAGTGTGTAGTACTTGTTGTTAAGTACTTGCTTTAAAAATTTAAGACAATTAATCCAAAAGCTCCAGGTATAAGCAGGCATTGTAAATACCACCCTTGTCATGTTGCTGTTTCAGGTCCAAACAAAGGACCAAGGGCCACAGATGTCCCAACTGCACTCAGTGCAGCAGCATAAATTATTCCCATTTGTTCCATTATTGTGTTTTAAAAATTATAATGCACGTGCTTTAGAAGATCCTCTGAAACTATAAGCACAGCACTTTGTTATTTACAAGAATTTCAGTGACATTTCAAAGCTGAGCAGGAATACCTTGCCATAGTAAGAAATGGCTTCCTTATATTTATCAATGATGTCTTCAGGACTAAGGCAATTCTTGGCACGTCCTATCTCAGCACTGGTATCTGCATTTATCCCATTTGAAGTCAGTGCACCTAGAACAGAACAGGATAAGAAATGAGCAGAAGGACTTTGTGTAAGTATTAAATATCTCAGAAAAAGAAGAAGAAAAAAAAAAAACCTGGGCCGTGCTGCAGGTTTAAGCAGAGCATACACAAAGCATCTGCCCTACCTAGCAAATACTGGCTCTGTTTCACTGTTTTCCCACACCACGTTACAGTGCAAAAAAAAATAATAATAAAAATAAAAATCAATCATACATCAGTAAACAGGACATAACAAAAACAAAACAAGGAAAAAAAACCCTCAATCTTTTATAGTTACTTGAGTATTCAGACTACGAGTAAAATATTGGATTGTGAGAATTAGATTACAGCCACATCTGTTCATGCAAATTTTAACCACTGAGCTTTTCTTTGCTTTAATTTCAAACTATTTCTAAAGCACACCCAAAAAAAATGTGCAAGCTTTTTTCTAACGTAATTATCTGAAGATGACCTCCTCCAATCATTTAAAACAAATCCAACCCCACGTCCAATCTCAGACAACCTATGCAGCGTTACAGCATAGGTGAAGGCCTCCAGGTCTGAGCCTTCCACATTAATAACAACAATTTCTTGGGGCTCAAGCAAAATAGTAAGGATTTGCTCTTCTTATATAAGAAAGAAAGGAGACAGAGAGAGTCTTTATATTTACAGGGGATCAGAATCTGAAATAGAGGCCAAGGAAATCTGGGTATTATGAAGCATATGAAAATTTTATTTCTATAACTCAATTTTATTGCAGAGTTAATAACACTGAAAACACATCAAAGGTTTAGAAGGTTTAGAAATGCTCTGTATCTCTTCACACGGGACTTAATCTGCAGGATCACATGCCTCAATTTATACAGGAATTGATTTCTCCAGGTGGATAACTGCAGAGAAAAGCACCACAAGGAGACCTTCCACTCACTCTGTAAATTCAGATATATGTTACTTGTGCTCAAACACTACAGAACTTTCTCCTGTGCCTGTCAAGATTAGAAGAATTACACCACAGGCATCTGTAGATTGAGCACTTTCAGGTGTTTTCCAGAAGCTAACAGCAAAATCTTTCTTCATGATGATTTAAGATTTATAGCTAAAACCTGAAGCATCAGGAATCTGTACTGGTTTTGGCAAGTGGCATTAAGTACATAAATGCAAAACAAATGCAAATAATAACAAGAAAATAATTTGGAAACATGCATGAAAATAATGTACCTGGATCAATGAGAACTTCTTGTGCCCCTAAAAGGAGGAACAAAAATGATTCTTTTTCAGCCTTAAATATAGCCAACAAAATAAGCTCTTACACTGTTTCATAACAATCAGCAGGCTTGAATGAAATCATAAAGCCTATTAGAATCATCACTGCTATTTTGAAGGACTACCAATTACATATCAAGTAGTCACCACATGGTAATTCTCTTTTTTTTTTTTTTTTTTAAGAAAAAAACAAATGTAGAAATACCATCAACTTGCAATAAACTCCAAAACAGGTCAAGAAAAACTGAATCATTTTCACTGCACACTTTAAAGCCAACTTCCTTTTCTCACGTCTTGCTTTAGATGGCAATTTTTTGTCGCAGTGTATTTCTATTCTGATTTCAGGTCCTACAGTGCTTAAACCTGCATTAAATCCAGACTGTACTCTAGAAGAACATTTTTGAAGAGCTGTATCCAATACATCCCCCTCTGATTACCACCCACAGAGGGTGGTGAGGCACTGGAACAGGTTGCCCAAGGAGGTTGTGGATGCCCCATTCCTGGAGGCATTCAAGGCCAGGCTGGATGTGGCTCTGGGCAGCCTGGACTGGTGGTTGGTGACCCTGCACATAGCAGGGGGTTGAAACCAGATGATCACTGTGGTCCTTTTCAGCCCATTCTATGATTCTATGACTGTCATTAATTTCACACCATCAAATTTACTGGAGTAAAGCCAACAAGCCACGCTATTCTCAAAGTTGACAAGATGTGCACAAAACCTGGATTAACAGACGTGTAACTCCTTGCTAACCTAAGCTCTGATTCAGCAATAAAGTTAAGATTGAGAGTTAAGCAGTCTAAAGCAATGCTTTATGTAAAGTCACACTTCCTTAAAATGCCAAAACTCCTTTTCCATGGCCAGCAGGGTACTGCAGTGCACAGGTTCAAATAATGACCAAGGAAACTTAATGGCCAACACTCCATGGTTCCCTCCCTCCCTCAGGCAAGTACTTCAAACTCTATGCTATTCATTCTCTTTTGAATCAACTAATCCTATCAAAAGAGCTTCAAAAAAGATGAAGGGTCAATCAACCCCAACTAGACAACATTCTGATGGCTACAACACTTCCCAGGTATGTATTAAAAGTATTTCAGTTCTCCTTAGTAGGGAAAACAAACATTAACACCTCCCTCCTGAGGGTTTAGTCTGTATTATAGAAGGGGTGACAACATTAATGCTTCTCTCTCCAGAGATGTTTTTGACATGTTTTAAAGCAGATAAACACAACGATTTGTTTGAGCAGCCAGGCCCAAAGTTGTTTTTTTTTTAATGGAAAAATGCCAAATTGTTGAAGAGATTCACAACAAAACACTTCTCTTGACCAAGTCTGGGCACAAGATAGTGCCAAGAAACCCTGTGCTGGCAAGGCTGAAGTACAGGCACAAGAAGAGGTGCAATTCCAGGCACATCAGTAAGCAATACAGGTAATTAACACATCTATATTCCTTACAAGTAGGCATAAGTTGAATGCTTATTCCACATAGGTCATTTGTTGATTTGCCTAAAATTTGGAAATGCCTTTTGTATCCAGCCTGGTCCCTCTAACAATGTAGACTATAAACAAGGGTGCAGTTCAGAGATTTTAAAGTATTGAAAAGAAACTTATAGAAAACTGTAAAGGGAAAAGACCAAAGAACAAATGCTGTATGACCAGGCAGAGTTCAGGATTTCACATCTGATTTGTTTCTTTCTTGAGTTAACAAGGAGGACCCGTTAGAAAGGATAGATAGTTAGAATATTGTTAAAGACTTGTTGAAAGATGGAGAAAGATTAAGAACTGTTGAAGTTTTATCCTGATGGGCAATATAAAATGCACTATGGGACCAAATGGACAGATTTTAATCCCTAGACATTATCTCTTCAGTGGCATTTTCTCCCTAAATGCAGTAATTTTTATTACCTAGCTCATCATCTGGTGTCAGTACATACAGTACGTACGACAGATAACAGATGAATGAAGATGGATGTAGCTGCTGTTTAAAAGGAATTCATTCTGACTGCACACACTCACGGGTACTTAGACCAGCACTTAAACTCAGAGTCTGTTTGTTTCAGTATTGTGGAAGACTGTAAATACATACAAAGATATAAAAAATATACAAACAGCTCTGCTGGGTGAGACCAAAGCCTGTCTCACCATCCTCTCTCCCACCAAGCATGTAAAAACAAAGCTATTTATTATCACGTTTCACCTTGCCTTCAGTAACTTATAGCTCAGACATTGCAAATGCACAGATTTCACAATAATTAATACATTTTTTTTCTTTTATTATCCTAGCCATCCTCTCCAGGAAGCCACAGAAGCTTTCAGAAGCCTCAATACCATGTAGCAAGTGTTAGATTATGCACTTAGAAGCTCATCTGCACAATCACAATAGAGCATTGAGAAACAATGAGAGTTGAGCCCAGCAGTTTAATCAGAGTAGACAGAGCAGTCCAGGAGTGTTAACTCTCTCTCGAAGGGTTTCACAGGCTGCTCTCCAAATCACCTTAACAGACTGAGGGATGTTACTGTCTACCATCTTATGGATTCTAGGATGCAGGGAAAGAGCACTCTGGGATTGTGCAAGACTTTCTTACGGGATACACAGGAGATTAACCAACAGCAGGGAAAAGGAGGAATGAAGGCAGATTAGGGAGGAACAAATATGGAAAAGATGGATAGGTAAGGGGAGTGTGTATCCGTGCGTGGAGGTCAGACAAACAACTGGAATGGGGCTCTGAGTCCCAGTGCTTGGAATAGAAGTCAAATTCCTTGCTTACCTGGTCTGTGCCTGTTGCCTGCTTCAGCAGAAAGAGAGCCTCCTTGTGCTCTACGAGATCCAACTTTACCTCCAGTCCCACCAGGGTAATGATAGATGACTGATGCTGAACATAAACCCTCAAGAGCAGCTAAAACAAAAACAAAAACCAGCAGATTAGTGAAGACACTTTCAAGAAGTGAAGTATCGTGTAGAAGCATCTATTTACATGAATATGAGGTACACTTCAGTTGGAGAGTAGGCAGTGGAAAAGGCTGAGATAGTCAATGCCCTTTTTATCTCTGTTCTCACTGATAACATTTACCCTCAGGCTCCTCAAGTCCCCACAACTATTAGCATCATCTGTAGGAACAAGTGCTATCCACAGCAGAGGAGTAAAAGCATCCAAAGTACTTCACCCAATTAGAAACAAATCCACAAAACCAGTTAGGATGCTCCTGAGGATGCAGGCAGCTGGCCAATGTCATTGTGAGACCACTTTCTTACACCTTGAGCTTTAGAATAACTGGACAAAGGGAAACATCACACCCAACACCAGGAAGAAGGTACCAGGGGTCTACAAAGCAATTAGGAAGCCCAATGGACTCAGCTGTCCAGCAAGGCTGTAAAAAAATCCTTCTGGAAGCCATTTCCAAGCATATGAAGAACAAGAAGGTGACTTGGAACAGCAAACATCAATTTATCAAGGATAAGTAAGATTTCAGCAACCTCTCTGCCTCCTATGATGTGATGATTAGCTCTGTGGGCACAGGAAAGGACGTAGATGTTGTATATCCTCAGGTTTACAATGTCATGAGACAAAGCAATCTTCATAGCCAAAACAATAAGACTGATTTGGATAGGTGGACTATAAAGCAGGTAGAAAATGATAGGTTCACAGGACTGACCAGCAGTGCAAAGTCCAAATAGTTGCCAGTTACTAATGGTGTCCTCCTGGAATCAGTACTGGGGACAATATTCTTTAACAAAAGTACTTAGGCCAAATGGACTTTCACAGAATCAAAGAATGGCCTGGGTTGGAAGACACCGCAAGGATCATGAAGCTCCAACCCCCTGCCACACACAGGGCCACCAACCTCCCCATTTAATACCAGACCAGGCTGCCCAGGGCCCCATCCAACCTGGCCTTGAACACCTCCAGGGACCGGGCATCCACAGCCTCTCTGGGCAGCCTGTTCCAGCACCTCACCACTCTCTCTTTAAAGAACTTCCCCTGACATCCAACCTAAATCTTCTCTCCTTTAACTTAAAATCATTTCCCCTTGTCCTGCTGTTATCTACTCTTCCAAAGTGCTGACTCCCCTCCTGTTTATAGGCTCCCTTTAAGTACTGAAACGTGGCAACCGTAAAGCTAAGAATAGAAGGAAAATGTTAAGTTAAACACACATGGCTTTCGTAGATGTAGAAGCAAAAAAAAAAAAATCTAACAGTTGAATGTCGATACCTACAGGACAGATTTTGAAATCACCTGTATGCTTCACTGAAAAAAACATTTTCCTAAAAAGTTATTTAATCAATGAAACACACCTCCGAGCCACAGGAAGTCGTTTACGGAGCGCAGAAGTTCCACAGCCATGTGATAATGCACCAGGGAATCCTGTAACATCCCAGCCTGCAAACACAGGTCACCAACGTGCTTCCGCATCCGGCCCTGACAGCGCTTCTTATAGTGTCTGCAAAGCAAAGGATGCAATTATGAAGTTATTTCCAAGAACAATCACATGAGGTAATGAACACTTAAAGTCAATTTTCTTTCCTCTTTCATAATAGATTGACATTACTGTATTCTGCTTCTCTGAGCAAGAATCCAGTGTGAATTCTAAGCAACACAATATGCAAAAGTAAATGACCAGCATTTGGAGGAGATGCTAAAAAGAAAAATGCGTTGCATGTTCTGGCTATATAGCATTTATACACGTGTAGTTGGATATAAATGACTGCTCTTCAGAGCACTTGAACAGCCTCACCTCCATTAAAGAAACACCATCTTTTTAGAACTGCTATGCTTCATGAACAAAGAACGCGTTAAAGCCACTAACAGCAAAATGATCTCCTGGAAAGTTCCCTTCCATTTTCATCCTATTCCACATTTAACAGGCTCAGTATAACCACTGCCACTTCAGGCAAGGATTGTCAGGGTTTCACCTGCCACTCCTTTTTCATTTGCTCAAATAAAATCTGACCCAGCATCAGCAATACCATTTCCTTCCTTTTCCAAACAAAATCACTACATAACACCAATGCACCCTTATTGAAAAGAGTTTTAGGCTTTGTAGAACTAGAGAGGCAATTGGGACACAAATCAATGCAACAAAGGCACAAAGCTCGCTACTTTATTATTTAATACATTGCAGCCAAACAAATGTAAACAGACGTGATGTGGAACATACTGTGCTTCCAAAGTATCTCATGATTTAAGACCGGAGAGATCAGTCATCATTCACAGAATCACAGAATGGCCAGGGCTGGAAGGGACCTCAAGGATCATGAAGCTCCAACCCCCTGCCACACACAGGGCCACCAACCTCCACATTTAATACCAGACCAGGCTGCCCAGGACCCCATCCAACCTGGCCTTGAACACCTCCAGGGACGGGGCATCCACAGCCTCTCTGGGCAGCCTGTTCCAGCACCTCACCACTCTCAATCTGTAAAGAACTTCCCCCTGACATCCTACCTAAATCTCCCCTTCCTCAACTTAAAACCATTTCCCCTTGTCCTGCAGTTATCAACCCTTTCAAAGAGTTGATTCCCCTCCTGTTCGTAGGCTCCCTTTAGGTACTGAAAGGCTGCAATGAGGTCACCTCGCAGCCTTCTTTTTTCTCCAGGCTGAACAAGCCCAGCTCCCTCAGCCTGTCTTTGTAGGGGAGGTGCTCCAGTCCCCCGATCACCTTTGCAGCTCTCCTCTGGACCTCTCCAACAGCTCCCTGTCTTTCCTGTACTGTGAGCAGTACATTCAGAGCAACGCTACTCTTTCTTGAGTTTATCAGCAATCCTTCAGATCTCCCCTTCAGCAGACATATTCCCTAGCAAGAATATCCTTGCTGTATCTGCTCTAGAGATACTGTGGATGCCCCATCCTGGGAGGTGTTCAAGGCCAGACTGGATGGGGCCCTGGGCAGCCTGGTCTGGTATTAAATGGGGAGGTTGGTGGCCCTGCATGTGGCAGAGGGTTGGTCCCTTCCAGCCCTGGCCATTCTGTGATACCTTACATGGCTTAGAATTAAACTTCAGCCCAGTTACTGTACTTGTTGATTTACATCTCTCCAACAGTGTATCTTTACGATCTAATAATGTCTTCCAAGTCTATGAATATAAAAATACACGCATACATACAACATACAATTTCACGTTCCAAAATGCACATCAAGGAAAAGAAGTCTTTTTATGTTTAGACAGTAGATTGAAACACAAGGAAGCCACCTGAGAATGAAGCTTTAATTGAAGGAATTGCTGCAGATGTTGCTCTTTGTTATATGACAGGAGTCTCTGCAAACAACCTGGATAACATGGGCTTCCAAAAACACAGAGGACCACATCAGACTGACTGTCATGGTTTTATGCTTGTAATTTGCATCAGCTCTGGCTATACTTGTATCATTACCCAGTTCAGCAATTCAAAAAACAGGTAATGTGCATTTCATGAGACACTGCACTTTTATACCCCAAAATAAGACTTGAGTATATGGGGAACTGTCATGATTATGTAATTAAAAGGGACCTGAGGTGGTGCTTTTCTTAATTTCCCTTCCAGAACTGAGAAGGAAATAGTTCCATCCTAATTCCTTTCAAATATGTGAAAACCTCAATGCTTTTCACCTGATATTTTCACGTAATCTGTAGATTTATGGACAAATTATTTCTTATTATCTCAAAACTGTGATTTTAAAGCTTTTTCCTCCAGATTTTCCAGATTATATGTTAAGCTTATAAATATGAGTCATACAACGAAAGTAAAAGGGACAGTGCCAGGCAGCTGAGCCAGAATTTAACACCCAAACCATTTCTACAACACTGCCCCACCAGCAGCTCTCCCGAACCAATACCTCATTTTGCCAAAACTTTACCCATGCGTTACAGTACAACTTGGACATCAACAAGCACTGCTTATTCAAAATATTTCTCTTCTAGGAATTATCCCTGTTTATAAACAAAAAGATCAATTTATTCACGATGATGAAGAAATTTACCTCTAGTTATTCAAAGACCAAATTCACTCAACATAAATATTATGGCAAGAAAGGATTTACTTCTTACGATCCCTTCAATCATTCATTATGCTCCTGGAAAACAACTTCTTGTGAATTATAGAGGAAGTCTGCATTGTAGAGATGTAGAAACTGTGTCTTAATGTAGCTCTCACGATGTCACACAAGGACACTATTTATCAGTTAGTGCAAGTGTGTCCAAAAAATATAAAAGGGGACGATTTCAATAAAGGTAAACCCACTTTTCATGGACAGAAAAACTCAATTCATTTGGTATTTGTGATGCTTGCTTCAGAACAAATCTCATGTCTACAACATCAGGTGATCAGGATTAAGATGACCAGAGGGCTGCAGCATCTCTCCTATGAGGAAAGGTTGAGGGAGCAGGGCTTGTTTAGCTTGGAGGAGAGAACGCTCTGCGGAGACCTCATTGTGGACTTCCAATGTTTGAAGGGCGCATATCAACAGGAGGGGGAACGGCTGTCTATGAGGGTGGACAGTGATAGGACAAGGGGGAATGGTTTTAAACTGATACAGGGGAGGTTTAGGTTAGATATTAGAAGGAAGTTTTTCACACAGAGCGTGGTGATACACTGGAACAGGTTGCCCAAGGAGGCTGTGGGTGCCCCATCCCTGGAGGCATTCAAGGCTGGATGTGGCTGTGGGCAGCCTGGTCTGCTGGGTGGTGATGCTGCACATAGCAGGGGATTGAAACCAGATGGTCATTGTGGTCCTTTTCAACCCAAGCCATTCTGTGATCCTATGATTAAAGGCACGACAAAGCAATGGAGTTTCTTCAATCCATATGGGTTGCAAATTTAATGGGAAAAAATAAGCGGGCATACTTATCTCAGCATGAAATTCCAAAATTGTAACATTCAGCTGGCTCTGCTTCACAGCTGTACATGAAGGATCAGGCCACAAAGCTGAAAGCAAACAGCGTATAGATATCTTCTTTCTCTAGTTTCATTTTGATTAAAACATTGATTAATTTTGGTTCTTCACAGCTTAGCTCTGTTTGATGACAGGAAGTTCACACACAGTAATGGCTACTTTCTGTCCATCAGGTCCTTCCCATACCCCACTGATCAGAGCTGTTTCTCTTTTGTCCTGCTAAGACAAAGTCTTAGCAAAGCCACTCCCATGTCTCACACAACAACACCATAAAAAGTCTTTCCTGAACTATCCTCTAAGAAAGTCATGCCCTATGATATAGGACCCACACGGAAAATCATAGAATCACAGAATCATAGAATGGCCTTGGATTGAAAAGGACCACAATGATCAATTTGGTTTCAACCCCCCTGCTATGTGCAGGGTCACCAACCACCAGACCAGGCTGCCCAGAGCCACATCCAGCCTGGCCTTGAATGCCTCCATGGACAGGGCATCCACAGCCTCCTTGGGAAACTCCTTGGGCAATGTGTCACCACCTTCTGAGTGAAAAACTTCCTCCTAATATCTGACCTAAACCTCCCCCATGTCAGTTTAAGACCATTTTCCCTTGTCCTCACTATCCACCCTCATAAACAGGTGTTCCCCCTCCTGTTGATATGCTCCCTTCAAGTACTGGAAGGCCACAATGAGGTCTCCCCCAAGCCTTCTCCTCTCCAAGCTAAACAAGCCCAGTTGCCTCAACCTTTCCTCATAGGAGGAAAACGCCTCATAGGAGAGGTGCTCCAGCCCATTGATCATCTCAGTGCCTTCCTCTGGACCCGCTCCAAGAGCTCCACGTCCTTCCTGTACTGGATGCCCCAGGCCTGGACGCAGTGCTGCAGATGGGGCCTCACAAGAGCTGAGCAGAGGGGGACAATCACCTCCCTCTCCCTGCTGGCCACCCCTTTTTTAATGCAGCCCAGAACACAGTTGGCCTTCCGGGCTGTAAGCACACACTGATGGCTCATGTCCAGCTTCTCATCTACCAGGACCCCCAAGTCCTTCTCTACAGGGCTGCTCTCAAGGAAACCTTCCCCCAGTTTGTATAAATACCTGGGATTGCCCTGACCCAAGTGCAGCAATCCATACCCGCCTCCAGCACCTGTAAATGCAGCTGACTACAAAAGGAATTTTCAGTCTTATTCTCTGAAGTAGTTTGCTTGTGTTCATTTGGTAGTCAACATACATTTCGTTCTTCAAAATAACTGACCATCACTAGCAGTGCCCACAGTTACTGCCTGAAAGCAGAGGACAATTAACCTGGCCTGAGAGCCAGACAGCACTACTCATTTCCAAATCTACTGCATTTGCTATATAGGATGTATGTTTTCCCCCTTCATTCCCATTCTAGGATGCCAGGATAATTTTTATACAGAAACTAGACTAAGAGTATTACATTTCAAGACAGAATTTATTTTCACTACAAACCATCCAGTAATGAGTTTGAAGGATTTTCTGAATCCTGAATATTTCAGAATGGCTAAATTTAAAAACAAGAAACATGCAAAATGAATTTGCAAAATTCATGCAGAATGCTTCAACGAAAACTTCCATCCAATCCCACCAATTCCAATTAGCATGCAGAACTACAGACATCACCAATCATAACATTAATCTGACTTCAAACACAGCAGCATTTCATCAACTGCCAGAAGGTCTGAATTTGGAAACCAAACACAGGCAGCAACAGCTTCATGGTTTTGGAGTTTAAAAGACAAAGCAAATTCCAGAGGCTAGCAGCCGCCTAAGCGCACTGTGTGTGCCCTACAAAACAAAATCAGCACTGCTACCAAATATAATTGCCAAATGCACCAAAAAAAGGGTCGAGGACAGCCGTCAGGCTCCAGGCAGCAATTGTGTGTGTGTGTACTGGAAAACAAAGAGAAAAAGCGACACTAAACTATGCAATGAAGGCAGAGTGGAGAGGCAGTGTATGGAAGAAAGCTAACTACTTTGCAATGTACGCAGTCACAGCCTACCTTTTCAGACCCAACAACAAACTCACAGGGCAGTATGAGAGAAGGAGGAAAAGAAAGGAACAAAACAAAAATTAGAAAGACAGAACAGAAATAAAATAAACAGCCACATACACATCCTGAGATATCACAAAGTCTGAGAAGTCAGTAAACAAATCCCATCTACACAGTATACACAAGCAGACATCCAGTAACAGAGCCCTCCCTTCTCACCACTCAGTAGTATTAAAGGAATCCCTTATCAGCATTAAAAAAGAAAGATCCAAGAACAGAAACTGATGTAAAAAACATGTTCCTGATGTATGAACTGCATCTAAAAGACACTGATCATGTTACATTGATTATGAAATTCAGTGGCAAATATTAACGCTTGGTATTGATGATAGTCTCACCATCTGAACATCGATCCTATCTATCGAGTTTGGACCATAAATATTAACCTTAATAGTTCACAGTAAATTGCAGAAGAAAAGCCTATTTTAAGAGATTGGGTAGTTTTAATTAGTCTTCATGTGATCATACATATGTAACTTCTTAACACGTTTTCTCTCAGTATACATAACTGCCTTCCCAAAAGAAGCCGTTTCATTTGCTTGTCTATTATTTTCACATGCAGCCCACGCATTTAGACAACCTTCATTCCTCACTGGACAGACTTACACAATGTAGCATCTTGCAAAGACACAACCTGGACTGAAGAAGGTCCTCTTTAACCCTGCGTCTCCATATTTCCACTTACTGCAGTACATCCCTCTTAATTAGGGAACCTGTGATGTGATGCAACACTTCATTTCAAGCCAAGAAATAAAGTAATAAATATCCTAGCATTTTCCATCTAAAGACTTCGGCTGGAAGGTTTAATTTGGTTTAATAAACCCGACCATAGCTCAACCTGCTTCACAGGCCTGAACTTCCACTAGGTAGAACACAGAAGCCAGAATACATTGTGCTGCTGAAAGGTGCCTGCACAGAGAAGCTCACGTTTGCTACACACGTTTATTTCTCTCTCAGTGAAGGACAACTCTTTTTCAGCTCTTAGAACAGATGTAGCAACTCCACACTAAAACAAAAGCTAAAAAAATACTCTTTCAAACCAAAGAAGAAGTTTAGAATACTTATTTTTGCTAAACAGTGAAGTACATCAAGCACTTATTAAAGTATATCCACTGATCGAGACTTAATGAAAAACTATTTCAAAGATATGATCAAAAGACACAACAAATTCTGAGACTCTAGCAAAGACTTGGCAAACTGGAACACAAAATCTTGGTGATTAAGTTATCATGTTCACTTGAAATGCATCCTAATGAAAGCCAAGATTCTGAAAGGGGTCACCTAGTCTACAAATGCAACAGTCCATACAGAGTACAAAAAACAGTAACAACAACTAACACTACCAATGAATGTTGGGTATAGCATTATTAGGAGGAAATTCTTTACTGTGAAGGTGAGACACTGGAATGGGCTGCCCAGAGAAGTAGTGCACGTCACCTCCCTGGAAGCATTGAAGGCCAGGCTGGATGGGGCTCTGAGCAACCTGGTCTAGAAGGAGGTGTCCCTGCCTTTAGCAGGGGGGTTGGAATTAGATGATCCTAAAGGCCCCTTCCAACCCAAACTGTTCTGTGATTCTAACTAATCAGAATACCCACAGAGCAGCTAATGTAGGGAAGAACGTGGGTTAATGAATTAGAGCAAGTTCAACTGTGTGAACTTGTTCCAGAAGCCCTGGAGCAGAGGAGAAGGGTGCTGCGGGCCCTTCAACACGTGAAAGGTATTATTTTCATGCACGTTATGTATCCTGATAGGATGTGCACTCCTCTCTCTTCTCTGATATCAAAGGAACAAAGATGGTTGAGTCCATCCTTTGGATTTGACTTCAAGTAATGGAGCCAAACAAACTTTGCACCTACCTACATGCAGAAGGCCACAAATATTAATTCCTAACACCACAACTATGTAACACGCAGATCTGAAAGTTGAGTGAGCACATGATTAAGGGAAGATGTGATGGGAGGAGGAAAAAAAACTGTAACAGGGAAAACCGAAGTTCTTCTCACAGCTGTGAAAAGAACAATAGCAAAATATGGCGGGTCAAAACTATCAAATAATAAAGTAAAAATGAAAGACAAGGAAGAACGTTGAACTTAAGAAACCAAGATAAAAAGATATACAATTACTTTAATTGATGTAAATTGAGTGTTGCTAATTACACTGTATATCTGCAAACCCTTTGAATCCTTCCTCAAAACCTCTCACTGTAAAAGAATCTGTCAAACATCTCCTGTGACATCTTCCTCCTACTTAGCCTCATAAATTATTTAAATGCATATACATACTGAAAACATCAAATGAAGTCAGACCACAAAAATTAAATTATATTAAACAGCAGCAGTATCTATTCTTTCATACAAGAAGATACGAGCACAACATTTACTGCACCACTTTGTCTTTTCTAGCAGGCTTGTTCTAGCTGCTTACCTACTGTCTGTGTCCAGCCCTACAAAATCCTTCTTCTCAAAAGGAACGCAGAGCAGCGGGATCTTGTCTCCAGACTTATCAGTGGCTCTGTCAAGCCGCTTAGACTCCAACACAATGAAGAGGGATTCGATGAAATCTTCTATTCTCTTCTCCACGGTTTCACATTCATCATAACTGGGGTAAAACGCCACATCTGTGCGGGGCTGCTCTGCAATCTCTCCTTGAAGTCCGAAGACAAACAGCCGGGAATCATAGAGCGTAGAGCCATACATTTCCTTCTGAAGATGGAACTTTTCAAACGTCTGAGGCCAGTCCTTGGCAGAAGAACAGTCTGTGATAGTTATCAGCCCCACAACTTTGCGGTGCGTCTGAAAATCCCCCCATTCGTTGTTCTCGGGGGGATAATGGTGCCTGTAGCGGATGTACAGCACGCGCTGGGAGTCGCGCACATTGACTTGGCTCACGGCTGAAATCCGCTTGTAGATCCTAAAAAAGCTCTCTTCTGGTACAATGCCGATGGGCTGGACCACAACCAGGAGAGTCTGATGATCCTCAGCACACTGCATGTAGTCAGGAACACTCATTTTGCACCAACTGCAGGCTAGCAAGAGATAAATGAGTATTATTTAACACTCAGAAGCATACACAGCCGCCGAATAAAGGCGGGGCTTTGTCACAAAGATCATATAATTGTTTGAGAACTGGAAGGGGATCCTTAAAGGTCACCTCGGCCAACACCCCTGCAGTGAACAAGGACATCTACAGCTACATCAGGGTGCTCAGAGCTCCATCCAGCCCAATCCCAAGCACTGTATATTATGCGCTGCTTTAAACCGCCGCCAAAAAACACTTGTGCTTTTGTTTTTCTGTTTTTTTTTTTGTTTTTTAGCCAGATCATTCCGCACAAGTGCAAGACAAAAGCCAAAGCAGCATACGAGACAACACTCTGCCCGTGGGGCCATGGAGGAAATGCTGAACTCCTCAGCATAGACTTCCCTGAGCCTCACGCTCTGCAGTCAGCCTCCAGGAGGCACCGTGAGGAGGTACGCAGCCCTGCGTGCGGTGGGATGTCGACTACCAAACAACGACAACAGCCAAACCTCACACATCCGTGCTTTCGTAAGGATCAGGAAAATTAGGTCCGAAGTATTCATTACTGAGAATAAAGGGGTTATTTCCTCAAAGTTCAGCAGAAGGGCCATAAGAATAGTTTGAATTTCAATATCTGGGATTCCTTCCCCCCCGAGTTATCACAAATCGTATTTCTGTGGCTGCGCCCGAGCCCTGTATTGCTCCGTGCCTCCCAGTCACGGGGATCTGCCGGCTACAGAGCTGCACCCACCACCAGGAACAAGCAGCACAGCTGACAGCTGACACCACACGAACAAGGAAAGAGGCTCGAACCCTTTCTAACATCAGAAAGAAGGCTTTTTGCTGGGCGATCCGCCGCTTCCCACCCCGCATCCCGTAAGGAAAGGGAGCTGAGGGGCAGTGAGGTGAAGGGGGGCGTCCAAGGGGTTGGAGGGGGGGAGAGGAGAGAGGCGCAGCCGCCTCAGGGTCCCGCGCTGAGGGGAGCGGAGGGGCGCACTCACAGCCGGGACAGGAGCCGCCCCCTCCTGCTGCCGCCGGACGCGAGGGACGGGCGGCGGCGGAACTGACGGCAATGGGCGCCCGCGGGGCGGCGCATGCGCGGAGCGGGAGCGGTGGGGTGGCCGCGCTTTGCGCCTCCTGTGATAATTCTCAGTTACGAGAGGGTCTAAGTTTCTGAATTTACTATTATGCAGAAGATTGCAGTCTTATTAATTGCAGGCAATTAGTAGGAGTAGGGCAGACTCCGCAAGAAGAAGACTGGAGAAAATGACTTGCATTACCTGTTCGTTTAGAAAGTATAAGTCTTCAAATTTCCTATAATATACAATTTTAAAATTAGTTTCTGCACGAACATTCCAGGGATATAAAAATTAAGGGCTTTGACATGATAATTAATAGTGAGATTCCTCGAAGCTCACAATTAGTTATGGGCACCTCAGTACAGAAAGGACATGGAGGTGCTGGAGCAGGTCCAAGGGAGGGCAGCAAGGCTTGTGAGGGGCTTGGAGAATATGGCCTATGAGGAGAGACTGAAGGAACTGGGGCTGTTCAGTCTGGGGAAAGGAGGCTGAGGGGAGACCTTGATGAATATCTGAAAGGTGCTTACAGTGAGAGCAGGGCTGGTCTGTTCTCACTGGTGACAGATGACAGGACGAGGGGAAATGGCCTCAAGTTGTGCCACAGAATCACAGAATGGCCTGGGTTGGAAGAGACCTCAAGGATCATGAAGCTCCAACCCCCTGACACAAACAGGGCCACCAACCTCCCCATTTAATACCAGACCAGGCTGCCCAGGGCCCCATCCAACCTGGCCTTGAACAACCTCCAGGGACAGGGCATCCACAGCCTCTCTGGGCAGCCTGTTCCAGCACCTCACCACTCTCTCTGTAAAGAAGATAAAGGGTAAGTTTAGGTTCAATATCAGGAAAAACTTATTTACAGTAAGGGTTGTTAAGCACTGGAATAGGCTCCCCAGGGAGGTGGTTGAGTCACCATCCCTGGATGTGTTTAAAAGCCATTTGGATGTGGTGCTCAGGGACATGATTTAGCAGAGGGTTGTTAGAGTTAGGGTAGCATGGTTAGGTTGTGGTTGCACTTGTTGATCTTTAAGGTCTTTTCCAACCTGAGCAATTCTATGATTCCATAAGGATACTTACTTTGTTGTAAGTGCATTGCTGGGGAAAGATACAGAATCTGAGAAGGGTCACTTGGATCACAGACTTACCTCCAACACCCAAACATTAAATACAAATGTAGATAAATGAATGTTCTTAACAATTATTTTATCATCTTGATACAGATATATTTCTCCCTGATGGGACACAAGTGTCAGTGAAGGAGGAATGGAGCTGTCAGCTGGATGTCTCTATGTATGATGCACGGTATTTATTAGCTTTACAGATGCACTGCAGATGAAAACAAAAGGGACATACTACAAACTTATTTGCACACCAGTGATCTACTGGCTATAAGGAGAGACAGAAGTCAACACTCAGCAATCACATCTGCTTCTGTAAGTTTCACATAGTGTATATAGATATAAATATATATCTATCTTATATATATAAGTAAGTTCAAATAAGATATATATCTTACTGTGCACTGGGAATAAACATCTCCTATAATCTTTTCCTCACTTCAGTAGTTTGTTCCTAATCCATAGTCACAAAGGAGAGCAGAGACACACATTTGTAGCTGCCACGAGCTTGTTCAACACGCTACTATTTTTCCCCATAAAAAACAAACCTGCTGCCACTCCATTCCCCATGGAGCAGTTTGCCCCAAGTATTTATCCATTTATCAAGACAGATCATCAAACAATACATATTTATTTATTTATTTGTTCTGGATTTTTTTATCTGGATTCCTCAGAAAGGAAAATTGTGTGGTCTGTTCTTGCAGGATTCCCCTACCACCTCTGTTACTCAGCCAAAACAGAGCACGTGAAAGAAGCCCTCAGCCTCAGTTTCCAAATCCTTGGACATGGGAGGGTTTTCAGCCTCTGTCTGTGATCTTCCAGTGCAGATGCTTATTGGAATAGAAAGAGGCATATAGCTTAAAGACATTGGCACTCTCAACACAGTAATTTCAATAGGATTAGCAGTTATTTGAAGGTTGTGGACAAGCAGGTTCATTTAGATGTCTTCCTATAACTGGTATAAGTAAATTCAACGTGAATTTAGAGATAGTACAGATTTTCTGGATTTCAGGCAAAATGTGAAGCTAGGAAGCTGCACATATCTTTGGGGAGGCAAGACAGGTGCATTCAAACTGGCCAAATTTAGGTATGAGGGATGTACAAGGGGCATTTTCAAAGAAAGAAAATCGCTTTTCATTCACAGAGTTTTGACAAGAATGTCACTAGAAGCATTTCTCACAGAGAAATGATAGTTACATTCATTTCTCCCATACTGATGTGAATACAAATTGGGTGGAAAATGCCTATATTGCATTTGGTTATGATATCAATGGTACAAAAGCACACTAAAGATTTGGTCTCATTAATACAGCCACGACTCATTAATACAGTTACAACTCTTCCCTGTAGCACTGGCCAGAGGGGGTTTTGGAAACACTTTTTGACATAGTTGGATTCAATATCCTTGTGGGTCCCTTCCAACTCAAAATATTCTATTGTTCTAGTTCAGCTCAGCAGTGTTTTGTTGTTTCACTTCTTCCTTATGAGACACACACACACACACACAAAGTGATGACAGCTTGTATCAATTAAATAAGATAGTTATTGCTAAATGTAAATTGGAGTAGTTAATATTTTATTGTCTCTGGGAGATAATTGGATTGTGGCTCTGTAAACATAACAGTGTAGAGTTTTGACATTACCATTAAGCTACTCAGTCTCCTGAGATCCTCCAGGATGAGTTAATTCCAAGTGGTGGAGAAACTGAAGAGAAGTTGCTTACATGTGTGTATCTCACTGTCGGAGTAATGTCAACTGTTTCCACAAGGTGTCACAAGACTACAAGGATCAAACAAACCGAGCCTGATAGATATGTATACAGCATCATCGTACGTAACACTTCAGTTTGGATATAATCTACAGAGTGATTTCACCAGTGCTGTAATCTCGAATGAATTATGCAGTCCAAGATGTTTTGATTGTTGTTATTTAACTGTAAAAGTTGTCTTCAAAAACGGTAATGCTGGACCCAAAGCCAATGAACATATATTGCTGTACTATCCCTGTACTAAGGTGCTGACAACTGTTGAAGGTGCCAGCCTCCCTTAAAAATCAATATCATCTGTATTAAAGCCTTATCCATATATACTTGCAAATTCTGCATCAGCTTGTAATATCATGTTAACAAATTCCTTGTATTTTCTGTTCCAGGAACATCCCTTTCTGCCCTGAATTCCGACTGATTATTATTGCACATTATTGCAAAAGCTTCCATTCTCCCCTCTAATGCTAAATAGTGATCAAATTAGCAGTATTGGTAGATTTCTCCAATACAAATGAAAAACATACTGTTTGTAAAGCACACAGCAAAGTCCTGATTAAAGCCATTAGTGAGTGTTAAACAACTCCTGGTGGGAGTACAGCAGCTCTTAGCAGACAGGCACACACCACTTCCTGGCTCTAATGGTTCTGGAATCAAATCATAGACTCATAGAATCATTAAGGTCAGAAAGGACCACTAAGATCAAGTCATAGAATCATAGACTCATAGAATGCCCTGGGTTGAAAAGGACCCCAATGATCATCTGGTTTCAACCCCTTTGTCATATGCAGGGTCACCAGCCACCAGACCAGGCTGCCCAGAGCCACATCCAGCCTGGCCTTGAATGCTTCCAGGGATGAAGCATCCACAACCTCCTTGGTCAACCTGTTCCAATGTGTCTCCACCCTCTGTGTGAAAGACTTCCTCGTGTGTAACATCACTACCCACAGCCCTCAGTGCCACATCTCCATGTTTCTTGAGCAACCCCATGGACAATGACTTCACCACTTTCCTGGGCAGTCTGTTCCATTGTTTGACTGATATCAGAGAAGAAATTCCTCCTAATATCTAACTTGAACCTATCCAGCACGACTTAAAGCCATTATTGTTCATCCTATCACTAGCTATCTGGGAGAAGCATTGCATGGGGTAGTTGTGACCAATGTGCAGGACCAGGCACTTACTCTTGTTAAAGCTCACATTGCTGGCCTCACCTGATCAATCCAGCCTACCCGCATCCTTGCAGAGAAGGACTTGGGGGTCCTAGTGGATGAAAAACTGAATATGAGCCAGCAATGTGATCTTGCAGCTTAGAAGACCAACCATATCCTGGGCTCCATCAGAAGAGAGGTGGCCAGCAGGGACAGGGAGGTGACTGTCCTCTCTGCTCTGTTCTCGTGAGGCCCCATCTGGAGTGCTGTGTCCAGGTCTGGGGCTCCCAATACAGGAAACATGTGGAGCTGTTGGAGAGGGTCCAGAGGAGGGCATCAAAGATGATCAGAGGGCTGGAGCACCTCTCCTACGAAGACAGGCTGAGGGAACTAAACTTGTTTAGCCTGGAGAAGAGAAGCCTGTGGGATGACCTCATTACAGCCTTCCAGTATTTAAAAGGGAATTACAAACAGGAAGGGAATCAACTGTTTACTCGGGCAGATAGTGGTAGGACAAGGGGGAATGGTTTTAAGCTCAAGGAGGGAAGATTTAGATGAGATGTCAGGGGGAAGTTCTTCACAGAGAGAGTGGTGAAGTGCTGGAACAGGCTGCCTGGAGAGTCTGTGGATGCTCCATCCCTGGAGGCATTAAAGGCCAAGTTGGATGGGGCCCTGGGCAACCTGGTCTGGTACCAGATCTACAGGTTGGTGTCCCTCTGGCAGAGGGGCTGGAGAATTGATGATCCTTGAGGTCTCTTCCATCTCAAGCCATTCTATGATTCTGTGATTCTGTGATCCCTCTGAAGGACCTTCCCACCCTCAGGCAGATTGACAATTCTTCCTAACTTGGTGTCATCTGCAGACTTACTGAGGATGCCCTCAGTCCCCTCATCTAGGTCATCAGTAAGGTTATTAAACAGGGCTGGCCGCAGCCCAGACCCCTGGGGAACACCGCTTGTGACTGGTTGCCATTCGGATTTAACCCCATTCACCACCGCTGAGCCCAGCCAGGCAGCCACATTTTACCCAGCAATTTGTACCCATCCAACCCACGGGCTGCGGTTCCTCCAGAGCACAGTGGGCGACGGTGCTGAGGCACAGGCACACCGACCCACAGCCATTCCCCATCCGCCTGGCCAAGCCCATACTGCCTTCAGTCGAACACAGAGCGTAGGTGCTATGTATGTGGGGAACGCATTAATAAAGTCACCGCCGCCATCATTTGTTCATAGTTTACTTATGCTCTCCACACCAAACACGCCTCCAAGTGCCAGGATACCAGGCAAATACTGGACTGCAGGAGCTGAAGAGGCGTTTAGCAACCTGTAATTACACTCATGACTCTGTAGCCGCCGGCCTCTACTTGGATTATGTTTAGGAAGAGCCTATTTGCCATAAAAAACGAGTTCCCAGCGCCCGAGTGCCAGCGCCGAGACGAGACCGGCGCGGAGGGTCTGCCCCGCGTCGCATCGGGGTCCGGGGCGAGGAACCGCCACCCACAGCACAGAGCGGGCAGCGGACGAGCGCGGCGCACCACGGGGCTCGTAGTCCTCCCGCCGCTCGGCCGGCGCGCGGCCTCACGGGAGTTGTAGTCCCGCCGCTTCCTCCCGCCGGCGGCGCGCGGGGCCTTCTGGAGGCTGCGGACTACAGCTCCCAAGGGGCCGTGCTGCGGAGGCCGCCCATTTCTCGCCGGGATGAGGGGTGAAAGGCCGCGGCCACTTCGGGGGGGCAAAATGGCGACCAGATTGAGCGGCGGAGAGAATCGGCTGGTGTCACTGCCGTTGTCGCGCATCCGCGTCATCATGAAGAGCTCGCCGGAGGTGTCCAGCATCAACCAGGACGCGCTTTTCCTCACCGCTAAGGCCACGGTAGCGTCTCCCGCCTTCCCTCCCGTCTGGGCCGGGCGGGCTCTCGGTTGCGCCTCTTCGCCCAGCGCTACCGCGTCCAGCGCCTTGCATGCGTGCTGTTAAATGTGGCACTCGTGCCGTTGATTGGGGGTTTAACTGCCACCTGTATATCCGGATCTGTATTGTTTGCTTTACGTTTTAGGAGCTTTTCGTTCAGTATTTGGCGTCGTACTCCTACAAACACGGCAGAGGCAAGGAGAAGAACGCCCTCACGTACAGCGACCTGTCTCACACTGCAGAAGAGTGTGAAACCTTTCAGTTCCTTGCAGGTATCTGCAGAGCAGAGCAGCGGTAATCCTGTGTGTAAATTTGAAGACGGAGTTTTGATTTGATTGAATTGTTTTGTGAGGGCACTGTTCTCCTGCTGGTTATTATTCTGCTATTATGTGTAGACAAAAAAAAAAGCCCTAACCATATAGCTAAAGGCTTAATGGCAGGGTTGGGAATGGTCAGGCTGAACTGTTGCCCTGAAAAGTTCAGCATTGCTCCCCTTTATTCAGCATATGTCTAATGTCTTCTTAGTCAGCATGCTAAATCCAGGCTCAGGGTGGTGACACACTGGAACAGGTTGCCCAGTGTGGTTCTGAATGCTCCCTCCCTGGAAGCATTCAAGGCTGGATGGGACTTTGAGCAACCTGGTCTAGTGGGAGCTGTCCCTGCCTATAGCAGGGGAGCTGGAACTAGATGATCTGAAACGTCCCTTCCAACCCAGATCATTCTGTGATTCATTTAACATCCTGGTGTTGCCAAGCTTTTCTTCTTACCACCTAGGAAAACACATGGCTATGTAAATAAAAAGAAACAAGCTCCTCAGGATTCACACATAAGTTTAAGTGACAGCACAGAAGGTCTTGTTCACCGAGTGGATGTCAATCTGCAACGCTTTAGCCACTCATGCTTCTGCTGTCATCTGTGCTAAGGGCCTTATAAAAAGACGTGAAGTTGTTGGAGCAGGTACAGAGGAGGGCCACAAAGATGTCAAAGGGCTGAAGCACCTCTCTTATCAAGAAAGGCTGAGGGAGTTGGGCTTGTTTAGCTTGGAAAAGGGAAGGCTTCAGAGATACCTCATTGCAGCCTTCCAGTACTTAAAGGGAGCTTACAAGCAGGAGGAAGACTGGCCTTTTTACATGGTCTCATAGTGATAGAACAAGGGGGAATGATTTTAAACTAAAAAAGAGGAGATTTGGATTAGATATTAGGAGGAATTGTTCCTTTTTTTTTTTTTTTTTACTCAGAGGAGGTACTGGAACAGAGTGCCCAGAGAAACTGTGGGTGCCTCATCCCCAAAAGGGTTCAAGGCCAGGTTGGGTGGGGCCCTGGGCAGCCTGAGGTGCTGGGTGGCAACTGTACTGGTGGCAGAGGGTTGGAACAAGATAGGCTTTTAAGGTCTCTTCCAACCCAAGCCATTCTGTGATTGAAATCTAACTCATAAGCTCCATTACTGAAAACATTTATGGACAGGGATTTCTCTGGTGTTGCAAAATTATACCAGGGTAATTAGTGCTCAGCATATTGCCGTAAGCACTTCTGACATGCCAACGATCCCATTTAAAAGCTTTCAGCCTGTGAAACAAGACCTAAAAAAGATGTGACAATTTACATGGCTCAAAAATCATGCATTTAAATCTCTAAGTCCTGTTTCCTGAAAAGGATGCATCATATGTTTCCTCTCCCTTTTAATGTACGTATTTACATCTGAACGTACATGTGCATGCACGGTTTTCTCTTGTAGTTGGAACTTATTGGTAACGTTTCGCTCTGAAAAGGCATGGACATAGGAAAATGAGTTATTTGTAGCCTGGCTTTTCTCAGGGCTCCTTGTTTTGCCTTGTCTCAGGGCCATCGTTACTGCCCTGAATGAGCATCTTACCTGAATACAGAAATCAGTTTTCTACAGGACACAAGTAAGGCAGCTGTCCTATTGAATCTGTCAAAGGCTGTTGAGTCATTGAGCATTCCATTTAAAATCAAACAAATAATGTTACTTGTAATTAGAAAAAAGGAATTATCCATTTCCACTTACTATACATTGTATGTCAGGCTAACTCAACAGGTCATTAACTGTGTTAGTTGGTTTTATTTTGTTTAGTGGTATTCAGTCCCTTCCAACCTGTGCTGTTCTGTATGAATGCAACACTATGAAAGAGGCAGTGTAAGCACTTATACTGACTAAAAGAGCCATTCTCCCTTCCAGATATCTTGCCAAAGAAAATCCTAGCTAGCAAATACCTAAAAATGCTTGAAAAAGAGAAGCGAGATGGAGAACTGGGGAAATGTGATGAAGAGGACGACGAAGAAGAGGATGATGATGAAGCTGTGGGTGAAGCTGTTGGATCTTAAGGCTAGTGAAGAGCTACTTCATAGTTGATCCATTTTCTGTTGTATAAAGGATGTTATTTTTGTGACTGAGAATCCAGATGCTGGATATATTTATATACTGAGCCATCTGCTTTTGCTCTAAGAAGTTGAAAAATTGAACTGTGTATTTCCTGAAGAATGGAATTCTTCCCTCAGAAACATGGTGGCAAGAGAAGCACTAATGTAAATGTGACAGCAGAACTTGCTCAGATGACCGAAAATGACTTCTTCAGACAATCATTATCCAAACGTACAATTCCTTACGGGCAGCTCTCAGTCCAAAAGCTCTTTTGCTCTTTAGAAGGGAGCTCTTCCCCAGTTTGTGTTTCTCAGGTGAAGGGAGGGTTTTTACCCAGGATCTGCTACTCCTAGTCCTCATCTGCTTGAGGAGCCAGTAAGTGATCCAACCCTTCCGCAGCTTTCTGGAACAGTGGCAGGACATTAGTAGTGGACCAAGCCCAATTTTGATAAGTGTTCTGTTTTGGTTTTGATTTAGCTTTAAAAAGAAAAAATAATAAAGCTCTTGCTGTAATGGAGCCTAAACTGGCACGTCTGCCATTTACAGAAACTGAGTAGAGGACGAGAGCCATTCCAACAGGGAACGTGTTTCAGCAGCTGTGCTGATGAGCAGTAGAAGCCATCGATGATAACGTAAATGTGTGCAGAAGCTTTTCTCTGCAGTCAGTTCTTCACGCTTGCGGTTTGTCCACGGCGCTCTAACAAAGCATGAGTTGATTGAAGTCTGTTAAATGTGGATTGTTGAGAGTGAGCAACCCTTTCCCACTTGAGTGACAGAGCTGCGTGGCTGAATTTTCTTTGTTTTTTACTTTACAAACAACTGTCCTGTGTACAACTTTATATGCGACTTTTTACAATAAATATTTTTAGGAAAAAGTGACAGAGGTGCAGAACCTTCCTGCAGTTTTTTTCCAGCTTCAGTTTACCATAGAACAAAACTGTATTGTGTCAGGAAGGGTGCAGTGAGTTCTACGTGATGTTTTACCTGTTGAGAGATCCCCAAGTGGGTATGCAGAACTGTGCTGTTGTTGAAAGGGTTGAGGTTTTTTGTTTCTGTAATCATTAAAAGTGTACGGAGAGCTGAGGGAAACTGACAGTTGAGCACTGTGTGTTTGGGGTGGGAGATGTTGTCTGCAGTAAGATATGTAAATTATGAACAGTGTTTTTCTCAGCACTTGGTGTAGCTAACACTTGCCAGCTTTGGGGGAACAGAAGCAGCTTCTTTCTCCCTAGAAGAAAGTTGCATGGTAAACCTATAGCATAAACAGGGTATGGGGCAGCAAGGTGAAACAGAGGTGGACTCAAAAACTGCTGTTCACCATGATGGTTGTGTTGAAAAGTCACAGAAGAACAGCCTAATTGTGGAGCTTAACCTCTTGGTTAAGTCACTGCTGCACTACCTGATCCACAGTTAGGTGGGTCATGACCTAAGAATCAGAAACCCAAACCAGCCCCCAGCAAAGATGTCACTGTACTGAGCACACACATCTTGAGGGAAAGACAGCAGGACCGATGAGCTTTAGAGCAAATGTGCTTATATTTACTAGCGTGGTTTTAGAGCGGCATTTTCCACCACTGGTTCTTTGGAGCTGACCCAGTTATCCATCATGCCTCTCACATGAGCCAGTCATGGTGCTGTGCAGGGGTTCTAAAGGAAGATATCAGTCACTTGCCCAAAGCTGCCATCTTGAGCCTGGCGAGGAGGCTCAGCATGGTCAGCCACCATCTCCAGGTTGTACACCAACACTGCGATCGCGCGCCCAGTGGCACAGCAGGAGCGATGGTGCTTTGGGACTGAAGGAAAACAAAGTTCTCTGGGGACGTGTTAGATGGTGGCCAGTTGCACGAGGGTCACTTTTGTGAGACCTGAAGTGGGAAATTCTGCCACAGAATTAAGAGGCTGCTCCAGTGCTTGCTCAGTAGCAGTGTATTTTGCTGCTGAAGGCTATTAGCCACATACCTGGGCTATGGTTGCAGATGGGCAGAGGTGTCCCTGGCTACAGGTGGTCTGCACTTGGTCGTCCTGAAAGCTATCCTCATTTATAGCTGATAGGAATGTGGCCTTGTTGCCTCAGACCTGTAGCATAAGCCTGAGGTGGTCCAAGCTGCTTGGGAATAGCTGGCAATGAACCATGGTCTTGTAGCACACCCAGTGTTTGTTCCACTGCAGGAACATGCAGCAAAACTGAAGCACTTCTGCTACCGTGACTTGGGTTGATGCAGTCTCTTTTAGCCTCCACAGAAGGAACACATCCTCCGTGACAGTGCTATGCTATTCCTTTAGGTGCTACAAGGCTGTGACCAAGGCCTCCGGAGCCATATCTGTCCCTATCTGGTATGAGAAAGGTCATTATAAAATGGCTGAAGCTCAAACAAGATGAGCCATCCTAAGTGGGCTTTCATTAGGAGATGCTTTGCTTTTCTTCTCATTTTTCCAAGAATTGATTTTGAAAGTTTGCAGTTGTTGAATGTTTCTGCCCTGCAGGGAAGGCAGCTGCAAGGCAGGAAGCTGACAGTACTTCTCAGGGTATCTTGGCCTCTTTGAAGCGTTCAGAGATTTTGGACAGCAGAGCACATGCCGGGGGATGGAAGCTTTCCAGAATGAGCGCTATTATGTCCGTATTTTTGGTTTCCTTCCTGCAACACAAGCATGGAAGATTCTCCCCAGCACGCCCAGGCTGCTCAAAGGCAATGAAGCTCCCATCTTTCTCAGCTTGCAAAAATGCCATAAGGACTGTGGTTACCAAGTATAAATCACTGTATTTCATCCCTCTTAGAAGTTTCCTGTGGGCTGATGAGCAAGCTCTGGGCAATTAGCAAGGCCACAAGAACTTGAACACCCTTCTGTATTAATTCCACCAGAGACCTCTATGGGGACTTCATAGCTGCCAGTTTGCCACAACCAACTGCAGCCTCACATCTGCTCAAGCCTGTTGCCATTCCCTATGAGCCTTGCTTGACACAGAGCAAGCTTGCATCCGCTTCAAAGTAGCGTTTCAAATCTAAGGGGAACACAGAGTTCTGCCTGAAATGGGAGGGACAGCTGTGAGTATTTCCTACTATTGAATAAAATGAGTCTGGTCCGCAGGGCTGGGCTGTGTTGGAACTCAAGAGACCTCTGCTATCCTCCTGACTTGATACTTCACTGTAACACAGAGAGCTTACTTCGTTTAAGACCTGGGTGCTGTAGGTACGAAGTCAGAACAGAACGAAAAGCAGGATCTTCAGGCAAGTGCTATCCAAAGCAACAACCTTCCATATATTATTCCAGGACAACTTAGGAGGCATTACGCTAACAGCAGTCCATAATGAACTATTCTGGAAAGCAACAGAAGCAGAGGAGTGCCCACAGAAACATCTGAAACACATCCAAAGGGTTCAATGCAGAAGAGATCACTGGGACCAGGCACTGTGGCTCTTCTAGAACACATACTCTCATCTCACAAAATATGGGTTACAATTTGAAAAGGCTCAGTGCGGTGTACTATGAGGATCTCTGCTCAGCTTTGAGTCTGTCACTGGGACTTGGAACTGCTTCTGAGCTACAGATGGAAGCCATTGATGGCTTTGGATTAAGTTCAATAAAAAGACATCAAACTATGTTGTAAAGATGAGAAATTTTATTTTATTGACATACTATGAGGCAAAACAAAATTGACACCATACAAAATAACTTTATAAAATATCATTCACATCATTATTTTGTCAGGAATTACAGCATTCTGAGCTTGTTACGAGTCTTAATGTTTTGAGGTGAGAAACACTATGCTAAATCTTTAGTATTAGTTGTATATATACAGTAAGAAACCAAAACAGAAACTGTTAGGTTTTTCATGAGTTTATTGCAAAAGTAGTGCAAACTATTTTACCTTGCAAGCTGTAAAACAAACTTGGAAGAGGACCCACCTAAGCTTAAGAACGTGACAATAAATGTTCAACTTCACAGCCTCTGAAGCTTCCTTCAACAGCTCTCAACAAAAATTCCCCACCTCTGCATGTTTTTAGGTTTTCACTGACTCGGAAACAAAGCAGCAGAAGATGCACCCACACCAGCAAGAGGCTGCAGGCAGCGGGGCACACCGCAGGGAGCAGCTCTCCACAAAGCCAGAGGTTGGGAAGCACGGCCGAGCCACCTCAGAACGTGGACCAACAGGGCAAGCTCAGGCTGTTGGGCTTCCCTTGTTAATCAGCTGCCTCCTCTCCGCACTCAAAAGAGTCAAGAAAGCAGTACAACAGATTCACCATTCAGAACATCTATTGCCTGTTGTAGGAATATAGCATCCTTTTCCTGAAGCCTACGTAAAGCAACGTCCTCGTGGTCCCCCCTCCCCGTTGCATACGCAATGCAGGGCAACCCCCGTCCATGCAACCAAGGCAGGACACAACATCCTACGAGCGGAACAGAAAACACTACTGGGGTCCCCCAAAGCAAACAGGTAGCTGGTCGTCTACTACAAAAACAAAAGCAAACAAATGCTACATGAAAAATGTTAAAGGAACAAAATGCAGCATATTCAGGCTCTTTTTTTTTTTCTTGAGGTACCTATATAAATATTACCTTCTGCCCAAAGTACTATCTGTTCTGTTAAAAAACTAAAGTCCTTATCATGAGCCAATTGTAGGGCATACATTATTATTGAGAAAGTGCAACCATGCTGATAATTTATATGCAGCATATTAAAGGATGATTAGGCTTTAGAAAATATAGCTTAAGTATAGACCTGATGGAGCAGTTTTATAAAAACATTTAACAGAGGCATTTTCCTTTGTTCGAGTCTCTCTGCAGCAGAAAGCCTTAGGAAACACTTGGAAGTCCTGCCACCACGGAATGTCAGCACTTTTACAATCCCATACATCATTTTTCTTTACTAATTAAACTAAAGAGTACACAAGAGATTCGTCCCCCCACCCCCATATTAGGTATTGGTAAAAAGTTGATTGATTTTTTTTCCCCAACTTCAAAAAAAAAAAAATAGTATATATCACAACTTAAATTTTCCAAAAAGGAATTATTCTTTTTTTTTTAATGTAAAAAAGGTTCACCTAGTAGAAAAACCTATACAGAGTTGTAAACTGTTCCATAGAAAACTGTGGAAAAGTCGATGACATTTTATTCCCTTACCCACACATCCTTCCATTTTATATACAGACGCACGCAGCTGTGCCACGTATGTATATATATGCATTTGAATGGATACACAGAGGTACATCTCTAGGGTTGGGATTATATATCTCAAGAAGTTCTTTATTGGCTTTTTCTCTTTGCCTAGTTCTGCCGTGATGCTGTACACGTGGATCTGACACTGAAAAATAACATTTGCTAAAGCTACTTTGCTGCTTTTTTAAACTCTGTGGTTAAAATTCATTGGCTGTTCTTAATCAAGGACACGACCTTTGATTGTTATGCACTGGGAAAAAAAAAACCAACACAAAGGCACAAAGGACACAACTCAAATACAACACTGTCGTCTGCAAAGAAGAAACCCAAAGGGTTTGGGTTGCGGAGGACAGCCTGTGCCGAGGGCGGCTGTCAAACGCAGTTTGGTCGCTTTTTGCCAATCTCATCTGAGACAATTTGAGTAAATAGCACCCAACTGTTTACATGAGGTAGATCCAAACGGACAAAGAAAGCTGGGTCCCCGCTGCTTGGTTTGCCCCCAGTTCAAATGGTTTAAGGATCAGACATCGGGCGCAGGAAGGGCGAACGACGGCGCTATGTGAAGCAAGCACACACCTTGAGAAGAGTTTTTCCAACACCAAATAAGTGTTAAGTCATCCTCCTCCTCCAGGCAGAGATCTCCTAACAGGGGGAGGGAGCACAACACATCCAACACAAATAAAGCTACGAACTGAGAGTTGGGGCAGGCTGCCAGAGCAACG